CCCCAAAACCCCAAAACCCCAAAACCCCAAAACCCCAAAACCCCTTATAAATAAGAAAATCTTGGGTAATAATAAATATAATGAAACTCTACATTGCCACTTTGCTTTTAGTGCTAGTAACTTTCACTAGTGCTAACAGAGTCACTGATGCTGAAGACTTCTTGAGAGGTCTTGTCAGAGGATCCCTCGGATCTGTCGGAGAGGACATCGTTGGATGCATCAAAGATGGTGAACAAACTTTGATTAACCTGTTCCATGTAGCTGAAGATTTTGAAAAGGCAGCCCTTCATGGAAATAAAGCTGCTTTCAAGGAAGCTCTCGGACTTATTGGAGACATTGTTAAGATACTTCCTCACGAAGTTCAGGAATGCAAATCTGGTGCTTCTGCTGTCAAGAGTTTGGAAAAGATCATTGTTGAGTTTGTCAACCCAACTGCTCTTGTTGTCGATGTCGGCAAGAAAATCATCTGGCACGCAAGATCAATCTACAAAGATGTTAAACAGACCACTACCGACCTCAAGGCTCATGATTACGAAGATGCTGGATATAGAATCGGAGATTTGATCAAAATTCTGTTCTTGAACAGCAAATTGGGAACTCCATTTGACGACGCTAGCTCTCTTCTTGAATCTTTCTACATGTCTGCTTTCAAACTCGATTTAGATTTGTCATCTTGCGAATCTCTTCTCGATGGATCTGTTGAGGACGTTTTTGCAGGTATCAAGGAGATGGTCGAACATGAAACCTATGACTCAACTATCATGGGATTCATCAAGTTCTACTTGGCATCTAGAGAATTATACATAAATGCTCATAGCTGCACATCTGCCTGGGATACTCTTAAAGAGGGAGGAAATCAACTAGCTCCTTTTGTCCAGCATCCTACTGATATTATCGATGCTGCTCAAGCTGCCGCTAAGAGTAACCCAATCACCGTTGCTAAGGATTTAGCCACCTTGAAGAAGGGTCTTGATAGCGATCCAACTGACTACGCTAAGGTAGGATCCTCTACAGGAGACCTTGTCAGACTAGTACTTAAAAAGATGTAATAACACTTTTTCTGAAGTCATCCCAATGAACCAATATTATTTAGTGTTTCAAGTTTATATATAGTATAAGGGGTTTTGGGGTTTTGGGGTTTTGGGGTTTTGGGG